CTTGGTGCTTGCATTATCCTCCTTATTCAATCTCCAATGCCATTTCAGTTGTAAACTTCCATTATGGCACTTCAAATTCTTGATCCCAATACCCACATTTTTCCTTTTTTTTTTGTAAGACTGATCCATCTAATAAGATAGATAGAAAGAGTTGCTCTATTTGTTTCCATTTCAAAGAAACTCTTCTCAACTTGTTCATACGCTTTGAGATTGAAGTAAGAGCAGTAAAGGGGGATGTGGTGTAAGTGGGAAGAGCATCAACAACACTGTGACTCTTCCCCAACGATAAATATTCTCTGTTCCAGTTTGCCAATTTTTTTCTCCATCTTCTCAAGATCCTCATTCCAAATAGTGACTTATTTATGCTTTTCACTCAATAGTAGTCCCAGATATGTCTTAGGAGTAGAACCAATGTTGCATTTTAAGATGCTATGAAGTTGATGAATATTTACAACCTAACTGACAAAAACAGAGAACTTTTTGAAAAATTGATGTGTAGTCCAAAGCAACCTCGAAGACAGTAAGAATTATCCTTAATAACATAAATATGATGTTCCTCAGTGTTGCAAAAAATGAAGGTATCGTTTGCATAGAAAATACGACATATTCGCCTTTAAAGGCCAGAGCATCATCTGGAAAGCCAGAGATCCAATTTGCTTGAACAAACTTATAAAGCATCTTGCTAGTTTCTTCCTTTAAAGAAAAAAAGAGAGAGAGGGCCTCCTTGTTTTAGTCCTCGTTGTTAAGGGACGAAACTGTGAACATGTACCATTGATAAGAGCACAGAACCTTAGAGAGGAGATGCAGAACCTGATACAATTGATCCTTTTGAGACTAAAGCCCGTATGTCCCAAAAGATTCAGAAGATTCAACAAGAAGTTCTAGTTTACATGATTGAAAGCTTTCTCGATATCCGATTTGCAAATACTAGTGGGCTAGCAAAGAAGCATCCATGATATTTCTTTTCTAATATCACTAATAAAAGCCATTGGAGAAGTATTGACTAAATTAGAGATCATCCTTTTGAGCCTTTCCACAAGTACTTTTGATAAAATCTTACAGAAACAACCAATCAAGCTACTGGGTCTAAAGGATTTTAGTACTTTAGCACCATTCCTCCGGAATGAGAGCAATATAAGAGGAGCAAAGGCTCCTCTAAAAAATTTCAGCATTGTGGAAGTGGTTTGAAGCATTCATTAGATACCCCTTGATGGCAGGCTAGTACATCTTAAAGAAACCTTAGTAAAGCTGCCTGGAGCTTTGTTCGGGTCCCTTGGAAGATTATAAAAATGTAATTCATTGGAAAGTGATTTAGAGGTTCCGTAATGATTATTACGTTGTGTATGGGTATAACATTCAACATGATCTCCCAACCTTGTCTTGGTCACCTGCCCCTGTTTGTAGTAGCTGTTATATATAGATAAAAATTCCGGGCTTATAGTAAAAGGCTTATTAAGAATATGGTGGAGTTTACTTTCTCGAAAAAAGAATACGGTGGATTTTATAATAGAAAAATAGATAAACTGGAGTTACCTAGAAAGCTTGTCTGATTTGGCTGATTTTCGACCGGCTTACCAAAGAATGGAGTAGGCTACAGGTTTTTGCAAGCCTCTTGTGCTTTATAAAGTAGTTGCACTCTTTTTTTCCTAATATAATTACATTACTTCTGGGAAGGAAAAAGCAAGAAGAAAGAAAAGAGATAATAGGGAAACACTGTTTAACTTGACCACATATAGACAAAAGTATATCTCTGAAGAAAAGATTTAACTCATCTTTTCTTTCTAGTGGATGGTGTTAGGCCGTTCATCATCTTATTTCGTTTTAAACAATTCATCTTCTGGTTTTAAGTGCTTGAATTGGAGAAATTAACTGGAAAAATTGTGTGTAGAAATTTTGATTACGCAGTCCATCTTCATCAATCATGCCGACAAGTATAGTGTGATAAGTCCATTTCAAAAAATTATACTGACAAGTATTTTCTTGCATTAGACTGTTTCATATTGTTAATTCATGTGAACATTGGAAAGACTGAAGTCAATATTTACAATAATATGTATGAATTTTAGGGAACAGCATTCTCATTTACAGAACGTGATCGTCTTCACATTCGTGGCCTCCTGCCTCCAAACGTGATGTCTTTTGAACAACAAACTGCACGGTTCAGTAAGTCTCTATCCACAATTTAAATGCAATCATATTTGGGCTTCTTCAAAGTCAAAATCTATGAAACTTTAGCATTTGAGTGTTACTATGGATAACTCCTGCAGCCTCGGAGTGCGCCCCCTCCCCCCTCCCTTTTTTTTTGAGTTTGAGAAAAAATCTGCAGTGTTTTTTGCAAATTGGAGATTTTCAGGATCATATGGATTATAACAGTGGATTTTTCCATTTTATTTTTGGTTAATATGCTTAATAGTTCAGTTTCTCACTTTTATTAGTGGCATATACTTTCTCCTCTTCTCGATTCTAGGTAATGGATCCATTAAAAGAGCTTTGTTAAAATTCGAATCATTAAATCTTCCTATCCATTCACAAAACTTGAATCATTAAAGCAACAGATTCAGAGTTTTAGTTATGTAGGAATTCCCCCCCCAAGAGGTNTGAGTGGCTGAACTTATCCTTTTATAACATTGCATTGTCTTGTATTGCTCTATGGATTCTAGTTGGAGGGATTAGGATAAGTGATCCTGACATAAAATCCTGCATAATATAATGTTTGGTTGGAGGAATTGCTGAAAATAACCGCACATAATTAATGCGGCCTTTGGTTGATCATATAAAAAATAATTCTTGCATAACTAATGCAATATTAGACAATACCCACATATTTTTAGGATTTCACACGGTGTCCGGTACCCACATTGGGACTCCCACTAATTCAGATACACGCTGCCGCATAATGCCTCATTAAAAGGGTAAGCGTTTTTTACTAGGATTTTTTTCATTCCCAGGGCTCGAACCCACGACCTCTGGTTAAAGTTGGAGGGATCTTATCCATCCCACTGCTATCTTTGGTGGTAACTGTTCATTATATGGGAGTCTATGTATTATTTTATGTGAGATAAAATATGGAAGAAGAGAATATGTATTAGCAATGCAGAAATAAATGTATTTAAAGACAAAGATACCCTTACAATAAGTTTTCTCTACATAAAATTTCATGTATTATTTTGGTCATAATAAAAACACATTTCATGTATTATTTATCACAACATAAAAGTTTCTTCTTTCTTTCTTGCATGAACAATCCCTGCAGAACTAGAATGTGAATCGAATGAACCTTATTGTTCTTAGGTTTGCACATTTGGGCATTACATGTCTCATACATTGTGACAATGTGCACCTTACTTTTCAGTAACTACCATTGCAAAACTTACCGCCTAAAGGGAAAAAAAAGAAGAAGCAAGCTACAAGTTATTAGTGACATCCTTGCGCTTACCTCGGGAATTCTTGTATTGCAACTCCCATGTGCCCCTTTTAAGAACTGTCATCCTGAAGATCTTTTTCTTCTTTTCATCCTGATGCTTTAAAACCCCTAAGCTCCTGCTACCAAGCAGGGTCATTCCCGTGATATAAGCATGAGAGATCTTTGATTTTGTTCAGTTGTGACCTCTAATAGGGTTATATAGGATATATCTATTAATAAAAGCCTTTCTTTTCTGTTTGTGTGTCTGTGTGTATAATACAAATATATCTCCCTTGAAAGGAGAATAAATACTATTGTAGCTAGGCTTTGTTCTCTTGAATAGGTAGGCTGAGTATGGCAGGGAAATTTTGTCTGCTATATATATATATATTATATGGGATACTATTAACATACGTTAAACTCACAATCTTTAGTCATTTTATTACATGGAACAGACAAAATACCGTGCAACTCCGAACTTCTGAAATAGATTAGCAAGTTATGCCTTTTTGATTTTAAGCATTTTCAACATTTTTCTTGTGGTGAATAGTCTAAAATATGAGCCAAGTCTTGGAAAGATAACCATGAAAATGCGCATGCACACACAGACGACGCTCTAGCCTTATCAAAGGTGAAAAGCAAAATAAAATAAAATAATAAAATGCCCTGGTGGTATGTTTGGGTTTTAAGCGCGAAGTGCAGATCCGTGAAGAAAGACAACAACAACAACAACTGTGTACGCAGACCTTACCCCTACCCTGAGGTAGAGAGGCTGTTTCCAATAGACCCCCGGCATCCTTCCCTTCAAGAACTCCCCACCTTTGCTCTTGGGACAACTCGAACTCGCAACCTCTTGGTTGGAAATTGAGGGTGCTTACCATTAGAGCAACCCAGGGTATTAACTATATGTGATTCAAGAATATTAACTATATAAACAACCAGTAATTATATGCACAAAGAAATTGGAAAAAGCATAACTGAGTAAACAATTATTCTTTTGCTCCGTTCTTGAAGATGAAGCCCATGTATAATGAGAGGCACACCTTATTGCCATAGTGGATGAAGCAAAGCGTTGCCTAAATGAGACAAAGTGCTCAGCTTGGTACACGTAGCTTTAGGGCTTAAGCGCTTTTCAAGCGAGCCTTTGACAACATTGTCGTGCGTACACAAAGGAATAATCAATAAATACAAAGATGTGGTTCTTTAGAGCTTTAATTTTTTTTGGTTTGTCATATTCATTTTTCTTTTGGATCTCGTATTGCATACTTTAATCTCTGAAGTCTTGAAAGATGTCAAATAGGAAGAAATTACAACAACAACAAACCCTGTGTAATCCCACAAGTGGGATCTGGGGAGGGTAATGTGTACGCAAACCTTACCCTTGCCTTGTGAAAGTAGAGAGGTTGTTTTCGATAGATCCTCGGCTCAAGAAACGGTAAAAATAAAGCAACAAACAATACCAACTACTAGGTAATAGGGTAACAAAAGCGAATGACATAACATGTAATAATTAAAAAATCAGGAATAAGAAAATACAAGAATAATACTAGCACTACTGGTAAGACTAGGAGAAACTCACGACTACCTGATGACGAGCGCAAAACACAACACGAAGTTGATGACTTGATGCTTGCTACTAAAGATAGTATAGTTTAATTATCGTCTCCACATGGATTGGATTTCAACAATGTTAGAATAATCTCTAGTTAATTACTATTCAGGATGATTAACACTTTGATTGGAATGATTATAAACTAAAATTAACTATTAAAACTAAAGCAATTAACAAGTGACTACGGAGAGACAAGAGTAGAGCAACGGAGAAATAATCAATGGAAGAAATAAGGGACGTGACAGGATAGGTGCAAGATAGCTATTCGGGATCTAACTATAGTTCGATTCACTCTAATGCAGTGTTGTGAAGAGTGTGACGCTTCACAACATAGAAACGACCCTGCTCTAATGTTTTAATGATTCTCACGAATTCACTCGATGATTAGTTCAATCATATAGCCAAGATTCCTCTCTCGATTAAATCTGTACTCTACGAGGTGAACTAATATAAAGCACTGTAAAGGTATGCTAGAATACGTTAATGGACTAGTCTTTAAGAAAACATCTCTCGAATATTCTCCTAACTTGATTTAATTAACAATTCATTTCGATTATTTAAAAAAATCATTGAATTAAACCAAAACGAAATATGCAAAGATAATCACCCAAAATATTCCTCTTTCTATTAAAATAATTTGGTCAACAAAATTGCAATCTCTTCAAAGCTCCATAAACAAATTCATGCAAAATAACTAGAGTTAAAATCCACAAATATCAATCAAAACATCATATCCGTCAATCCCTAAAGTAAACTACTCCATAATCATGGAGAAAGTCATCACAAATAGAGTTAAAGAATAAGAAAACATGAATTCAATCCATACTCGTGGTTGACTTGAGGAAAGAATGATGAATCCTTGTCCTTTAGAGTCTCCAATGCTCTCCCAATCTTCCGTAAGTCAAAAGTCCCTTAAAAACGTGTTTTTGATATATTTATACCATGTAGAAGCGGGTTCGAATGGAACTACCCGTTCCAAGCCGAAGTAGGAAAACACTCTGACAAAATTACACATGAACGACGCAGGGCGCGGCCCCTCATGCACCGTCGCCAGTGGAGATATTCAGAGGCTTGTTTCTGGCAGACCAACTTCAATTGCACTGCCGCGCCTCGTGGCGCCCCATGCGGCGCGGTAGTGCAATTTTCTTAGAAAAAATTCTTCTTTCACTTTTTGGGTATCCAGACTTGGTTCTCAACCCCCGAATACGATCCCGGTTCAATTCCTTGGGCTTTTACTCAGATTTCAAAGCTCCACATTGTTCGATTTCGCTCCAAATTATCTTTTTTAACTCGGAATCATTTCCTTCAAGACATAAAACACGTAATAAGTGCAAATCACTATCATTTAAGCTCAAACACAAGTAAAGTGCAGTGATTAGAGTGCTAAAATACGGGTTCCTAGCCTACCATCACCTGATAATCTTCAACCTTAATTCTCGACCTGCACACCTTCAACCTTAATTCTCGACCTGCACACCTTCCTATCGAGGATCATGTCTTCGGTAAGTTGAAGCAATGATATGTCCTGCCAAATAGGAAGAAATTACTTGAAATAAATAAATCAGGACAAAGTTGCATTTATTAGATGTTTTGAGTAATTTATTATCATGTTAATATTATTATTCTTTGGACATCACGTACAACTATTTGTAAGGGGGAGGTCTTGAGTTCGACGCTAAACAAGAGCAACATTTAGTTAATTTGTATTGTTTCGTTATCAAATAGTTGCATGTGAGGAACTATCAGTGAGAGTTTTTCCTGACTGTGGCAGGTTTTAATTGAGAATATTGAGGAATATGCACCCATAGTTTATACTCCTACGGTGGGTCTTGTTTGCCAAAAGTACAGTGGATTGTTCAGACGTCCGAGGGGCATGTACTTCAGTGCTGCAGATCGTGGGGAGATGATGTCGATGGTTTACAACTGGCCAGCTGATCAGGTTTGTGTATATGTAAACTCGCTCATTCTACTACTAGCTTTCTTTGTTAGGGAGACATTTGCATATTGTTGTCTTTCCTACTGAATTAATGTGTCACTGATAAGTTTTGTGTATGGTTTACAACTGGCCAGCTGATCAGGTTTGTATATATGTGAACTCGCTCATTCTACGACAAGCTTTCTTTGTTAGGGAAACATTTGCATATTGTTGTCTTTCCTACTGAATTAATGCGTCACTG